CAAGCAACCAATATTCTAAAATCAATAATAAAAAAGTTATTTAGTAAAATATCTTCAAAATTTTCCGTTTATTTCAAAATCTAGTTGCTTGAAAAACAATTGAGAAATTGTTGCCATCACTAGATCTTTTAAAATGATACAAATTTGCTCAAAGAACTATAGATTTATCTTTAAAAATAAAAAATTTACAGGGGTTGTATCAAATAAAAGAAACACCCGGTATTATGTTGACGCTTGATTTTGAAAAAAAGTGTTCTTTTAAACACGATTCTAAAATTTGTCAAGAATACGGACGTTAATTTTTCTCATTCAAAAACCTCATTTTTTTAATTAAAAAAAACACGGTGAAAATTTTGTATTTTTCTTATTCCGAAAACTGTTTACATTGACAGTCCTGGGAAACGTCAGTTTAGAATTTAGAAAATATTTTAAAAAATTCAGGGTCGACAAAGAACTTTTCTTAACAAGTACTGGCCCCGCCCACCCGCCCTCTATTTTCTCAGAATCTGTCATTTACCGAGATCAGTCGCCGAAAATTATTCTAAAATATTTGTAAGATATAAAAAAAATATAAATAAAAACATCCCACGAAGATAAATGAAAAATGGAACAATAATTACACTCAAAGCACTAGTTAATGTTTCACAAAATCGTGGAACCCTTCCAAGCAATTTTTCACCTGAACCGATTTTTTTGACAAAATTTTGAGAATTTTTGGCGACGAACGACTTTCATATTTTCTGGGCGTCCAGATTTATCGTTTTCGGCTGTATGTCCCACCTGTTGAAAATTTGTCAAGCACACAAACTCCGAACTGCTGAACCGATTACTTTGAAAATGTGACATCCACCAATTAAAATCCAGTTCATCTCGTCAGTTTGTGTGAATGTTAAATATTTCATATTTTATTATGGAGAGTGCTTTATTAAGAATGTATTTTTGGGTATTTAAAAATTCAATGAATCAAATACCTAGGTCGATCGAAAAGTGGAAATTCACAAACCTCAAAAATCGAAAAATCGAAAATTGAAAAACGGGAAAACCAAAAAATCGAAAACTAATATTGAAAATTAAATATGAAGTAGAAAAAATTGCAAAGCCTAAAAACTGAAACGAACAGAAAAATCGAAAAAGCAAAAAATTGGAAAAACAAAAATTCGAAAAATCTAAAATCGAAAATCTGAATAAAGAAACTTGGAAATTCTGAAAATTGGAAAATCGAAAACCAAAAAATCGGGAAGTAACAAAATTGAAGTCTAACAGTTGAGAATAGAAAAATTGAAAAACCGAAAATTATCAAAATCGACAATGGACAAATTGAAAATCGCAAAATTTAAATTGAAAAATTGAACATGGAAAAATCGATGAATGGAAAAATCGAAAATTCGACTACTCAAATTTTCTAAAAATCGAAAAATCATGAAACTGAAAAATCCATTAGAATTTTGGAATCGAAAGTCTGAAAACTGAAAATCGAAAATTCTGACAAGCGGAAAATATAATATCGAAAAATTTAAAAGAAAGAAAATTGAAGTCTAAAAACCGAAGAATGGAAAAATTAAAAATCAAAAATTCGAAAAATCAAAACCGAAAAATTCAAAGATTTAAAAAGAAAATCGAAAAATCAAAAATCTGAAAATTGAAACTTGAAAATTTGGAAAATCGAAAATTAAAAAAATTGAAGTTTAAAAGCTGAAAAATGGAAAACTGAACAATCGAAAATTCGAAAATCAAATATCGAAAAATCGAAAATTTGATAAATCAGATATGCGAAAAACAAAAATACAAAACTGGAAAATCAAAAATCTAAAAATGGAAAAACCGAAAATCGAAAATTCAATGAATCTAATACGTAGGTCGATCGAAAAACTGGAAATTCACAAATCTGAAAAATCGAAACTTTGCAAGATTGAAAAACCGAGAATTGAAAAATCAAAAAACCGAAAAATGGAAAAATCAAAAATCGAAAAATAGGAAAACCGAAAATTCGAAAATTCATAATATTGAAAACTCTAAAAGTCGACAATTCAAAAATCAAAAAATTGGAAAGTAAAATAATCGAAAAATCGAAAAGTAAACAAATTGCAAAGCCTAAAAACTGACGAACAGAAAAATCGAAAAATCGTAAAATCAAAAAGTGGAAAATCGAAAACTGGAAATTGAAAAATCGTAGATTGGAAAATCGAAAATCGGAATATCGAGAATCGACAAATTAAAAAACCGAAAAATCGAAAAATTAAAAAATCGGAAATCGAAAAATGAAAAAAAAACAAAATTCAAAAATCGAATAATCCAAAACTAAAATAATAGAAAAGTGGAAAAGTAAAAATTGCAAAGTCTCAAAACTGACGAACAGAAAAATCGAAAAATATCTAAAAATGGAAAATCGGAAAAATCGAAAATTCGATGAAACAAATACTCGAAAAAGCGAAAAGTAAAAAAAATTGCAACGCCTAAAAATTGAAAAATCAAAAAATCGGAAAAATGAAAATCGAAAAAACGACGATCGAAAAAAAATAAAAAAAATCGAAAAGTGGAAAATCGGAAAGTAACAAAATTGAAATCTAAAAGCTGAAGAAGGGAAAATTCTAAAAAGCAACAATCGAAAAAAGCAAAATTAAAAATTGAAAATTTGAAAAATGGAAAATCGAAAACTCGAATATCGAGATTTTGAAAAATCGTAAAAATGATAATCGAAAAATCGAAAATTCGATTAATCAGTATTCTAAAAATCGAAAAAACGGACACAAATCCACAAATCTGTAAAATCGAAAATCGAAATATGAAAAATTACAAAACCGAAAAATGGAAAAACCGAAAATTCAAAAATCAAACTATCGGAAAGTAAAATAATCGAAAAATGGAAAAATAAAACAAATTGCAGAACCATAAAAACTGAAACAAACAGAAAAATCTAAAAACCACAAAAGCGGAAAAACGAAAATGGAAAATCGAATAATCGAAAGTTGAAAAATCGAAGGTCGAAAAATAAAACAACCGAAAAATGGAAAATTTAATGATTAATGGAAAATCGAAAAATCGAGAATAGAAGAATTAAAAAACCGGAAAATTGAAAAATCGAGAATTCAAAAATCAAAAAAATCGGAAATTAAAATATAATCGAAAAATGCAAAAAAATTGCAAAGTCTAAAAGCTGACGAACAGAAAAATCCAAAAATCTAAAAATGGAAAGACGAAAAATCGAAAATTGAAAGAATGGCAAATCAAAAAATCGAAACATCGAAAAATCAAAAAAACGAAAAATTAAAAAATCGAAAAACGAAAAAACTGAAAACTCGAAAATTCAAAATACCGCAAACTTGAAAAATCAGAAAATTGGAAAGTAATAAAATCGCAAAGTTGATAGAAAAATGGAAACTGAAAAATCTAATTCGATGAAACTGTTGGTCGAAAAAACGAAAAATCGAAAATCGAAGTGACCTTTTTTTGAGACAGGCTGTATAAGTAAATCTAAAAAATATTACTGCAATGATAAATCACACTCATCGTATCAAATTTTACGATGACGTCATGCATTTTTTGACGAAGATAAGCAAATACTTTTTGATCGTGGCTTTGAAAGTATTCTTCGACTTTCGCTCCATTTCAAAATTTACTCTTTGTATATTTCAGTGGTCACAACGAGTTCACTAACTACGCTGAAGTATACAAAGATTAAATTTGTCACCGAAAAGATGTCGGAAGTTATAAATTATCTTATCGGTCGAAGAACGTTCGGTCCGGTGTTACACCTCGACTCAAGAGAGACCGCAGTAAAGGATAACAAATGGAACGGATAAAGTAAAGCGTCAAACATGATTGATAAACTTTAAACCAAAATTATGAAGTTTATAAACTGAACATTTTGTTTGTTTTTTGAAATGTAATACACTTCAAAAAATGTCCGTGACTTACTTTAATGTGAATTTTATAACTATGGTCGACACAATTAGACCTAATATTAGTGTGATTTTGAGCATATTCTCGATGTTATTAGAGCAGGACAGGTTTTTTTTTCTAACTAATTGACAAGATTTCAAAGTATTCAGTTTTGCAATTCTTGATTTCTTCAATAAAATAAATTGACTCAGTCATTATTTTTTTATAGAGTCACCCTGTATGTATAAACAAATCCAAAAAATATTAATGGAATGGTAAATCGCAAGTATAGACTCATCATATTCTGAAGATTTTAGATAGGGTATTTATAAAACTAAAACTAATTCAGAGTAAGAATTTGGTCAACACGTAAATTTCGTTGTAGTTTGAGCCTACCTACAAATTCTGCCCTTGGACGATTTGGACCGCCTCCTTCGGTGACGACCCGCAAAAATGATCCGCCCATAGGCTCAAAACATTTGCGTGCGATTGTACAATAATCCTTTTTTCTAGAAAATCTTCAACGGTCTTGCCGCAAAAAAAAAGTCATACAATCTATGGAGTATTTTTCCAATCCTATAATAAAATTTTATTACCCAAACGACCGGAACCTATTCACAGAAAGGGTCTTGAGTAAGTGTACTTTAATGGTCAAGTCTAGATAAAATGCATATTCGTCGAAAAAAGCATTAAATAAGCATATAAGTTTTAATATGCATAAAATTGAAAAAAAAAAAACAAATAAGCATAAAAAAAATGTGTCAAATGACTCCAAATTGTATCATAGTTACAGATATAAAAAAGTTTTGAAGTGCTTACATTTTTCACCAAAAGCATTAAACCTAGAAATCCGCTCGCTAGTTATGTCGATGCAAAGATAAAAAATAAAAGAATTTTGGTCAATAAAAATATATTTGTTTTTAGAGTTGCCCCATTTGCTTCATTAATGTGTCCTTTTTTACATAATTTAGTACGGAGAGCAATAATTTGCATAATTGAATATTTAAATAAATATAAATAAATAAATAAAGATGTATTTGTCCAACAGAATAATTCCATTTAGAGGACAAGTTAATTACACCTCTTGACCAATAATAAGATACAATAAAAGAAAAATATTAAATTTCTTGGCCACACTTGGAAAATATAATTAATAGAGTTGGCAGCCGGCCATAAATTGTCAACAATCTTCGATGGTTTTATGACCCATGTCCCGTAATTGTCCATCCCTTTTAGCTCAGGTAGATTTTCGCAAGAAAATCCTGTTGAAGAGACTTCTTCGAACTTCCCCAAAATCCGCCGTAACTGCCACACACTTTCCCTCTACCTATGTACCCTTCGCGTTGTTCTTTCGCTCGCTTCGCCGCGATTCTCGTCAGTACCGCTCCGTCGCGCCTCGTCTCCGCTTTCGAAACCGCCCCGACCAGCATTCGGTCCGTCCGCGACCCCCGTCGTCGCCGCGGCGCGCCGCCACTGCTCCCCGTCGCAAGAAACCTCCGTCCAGTTGCCTGATGTTGAGTTGCCATATTGAATTTGACGTTAGCTTAAGAAAAGTCAAACCCGGCCGTAAGTGTCGCCGCCGCGTCCGTGGGTGTTTCTTGTCCGCGGCCACGGCGCAGGCCTCGAGCGTCCTCGTCCTAATTATGTGCATGACGAAGTCGTCGATGACGCTTGTTTACCCGTTCGCGTTGCCATGTCATGCAGGTAAAGAGTGACGGGAGCGGGTCAAGGCGGCGAAGAAGCGCAAGAACGTCTCCGTTCAACCGCACTCCTTGTTGCAGATGTCCGAGCACCTCGACGACGAGGACAAGGACCAGGACCCGGAGGACCTCCCCGAGTGCAAAGTGAAGCGCAACTACTCGTGCAGCTCGTGCGACTTCTTCACGCAGAACCCGCGCCACTACCTCTACCACCTGCGGGATGTGCACGAGGAGCGCGTGAGGATCTACGAGTGCCCTAACTGCCTGTACGCCTCCAAGCACTTCCAGAAGCTGCTGCGACACGCCAAGATGGTGCACGACGCCGCCGCCCCGGCGCCGCCGCCGGCGCCCGCCGCGCCCTCCGACGACGACGACGAGTTCAGGTGCTCGCTGTGCAGCTTCTCGAGCAGGTCGAGGCAGATGCTGGAGCGGCACGAGCGGCAGGAGCACATCAAGACCAAGTTCTTCAGGTGAGTGGCGGCGAGGAACTCGCGGATCCGAGTCGGGAGAGAATGAGTTTTTTCCTTTTTTTTACTGGGTTGGTAGTGGGCATGCGCGGTGGTCGGCGAGCTCTTTCGGGCGATATTTCTGCGACGTCCAAGGTTTCAGCACGTGTAAACATTCGGAGAGAGTAAAATCCGCTCGTTTTTTCGTGTCACGTGTAGATTTCGCGCCCCTTTGGGCTATTTTTATTTGGAAACTTTTGCTTTCGTGGTGTGGCATTAATGACGTCGGTGATTCAGAATTGCCATCATAGCGATTTAAAACATCCATGCAGGATGAGTCACTAAGTGCGCACTCTTCGATATCTCATTAGCCATTAACTATGATTACAATTACAATTTTCTCGATTTTGTTTTGTAATTCAATGACAACAAAATTGCAATTAAAAATTGCGATCTTTTAGATTTTTTTATGAACACTCTGTATATTTAGAATCAGTTTAATTGCAACACAGATGTTAAATTGGAATAACGTTGGCGTTTCAAAAATGTCATAAATCTTGCAAAGAAGTTAATGAAAAAAAACCGCACGCTTGTGACTCACCCTGTATATATTATATTAACGTGCGCCATAGTAATAATTGCAATTAACTTACAACGCAAACGAGTTTTCGCTGTAATTAAATTAGGAAAACATAGCCCACTAGTTAAAGTCTGAACTTTTTAATTTTGAGATTAGAAGTAAAACAAAACAACTCGTCTTACTCGCTAAAAGAATCTGGGAAACCCAGTGGTATTTTATTTTTAGATGTAGAATGTACATATACCATAAGATAGCTCGCCTCGTTCTCAGAAAAAATCTAGGCGGCCATTAGTATTTCGTTTTTAGAAATAGCACAACATAGTTTGTTTCGTTTGTTGAAAAAATCTCGGGAGTCCATTTTTAGTGTTTTATTTTTAGAAGTACAGCAATATAGGTTGCTTCGCTCGCAGAAAGAATCTCGGGAACCTATTAGTCATTCGTTTGTAAAAGCAACCAATACAGCTCGCTTCGCTCGCTAAAAGAATCTCGGGTACTTACTTATGTTTTAGTTTTAGAAGTACTAATATAGCTCGTTTCGTTCGCTGAAAGAATTTTAAGGTACCACAAGTGGTTTATTTTTAGAAGTCCAATAATACCACTCGTTTCGCTAGCTCAAAAAGTCGCGGGATTCATTGGTATTTGAATTTTAAAAGTACCATGATACAGCTTTCTTTGTTGGTGTTTTATTTTTAGAAGTACCATAATAAAGCTCGCTTCGCTGGCTAAAAGCATATCAAATGATGTTTCATTTTTAGAAGTACTAAAATACAGCTCGCTTCGCTCGCAGAAAAATCTCGGGATCCTATTGCTTATTAGTTTGTGAAAGCAACTCAATACAGCTCGCTTCGCTCGCTTAAAGAATATCAGGTACTCACTGAGGTTTTATTTTTAGAAGTACTAATAGGTATATACCTCGCTTCGCTCGCTAAGTACTGTCTAAGAAAATACAGGGCGGATGGGCGGGGCTGGTACTTGGTAGGATAAGACTGCTTTTGGCGAATGATATACCCTCTAAGAAAATAGAGGGCAGGTGGGTGGGACTAGTAGGTAGATAAGACTGATTTTCGCAGATGATATACCCTTTAAAATAATAAAGGGTGGGTGGGCGGGGCTAGGACTTGCTAAGATAACACTGATTTTGGCGAATGACATACCCTCTAAGAAAATAAAGGGCGGACGTGCGGAGCTAGTACTTGCTAAGGGAACCCATTGGTGTTTCATTTTTAGAAGTACCAAAATGCAGCCCGCTTCACTGGCTGAGAAAATCTCAGGAAACCATTGGTGTTTTATTTTTAGAAGTACCATAAAACAGCTGGCTTCACTCGCTGAAAGCTTCACGGGGAGCCATTGGTGTTTCATTTTTAGCAGCTAGCTTCACTTGCAGACAAAATCCTAGGATTTATTGGTGTTTTATTTTTAGAAGTGCCATAATTCAGCTCGCTTCACTTGCTGTAAAAATCGCGGAGATCTATGTATTGGTGTTTTATTTTTACAAATACATAATACAGCTCGCTTCGCTCGCTGAAAGAATCTCAAGGAACCATTGGTGTTTCATTTTTAGAAGTACTAAAATACAGTTCGCTTCACTCGCAGAAAGAATCTCCGGGACCTCTTGCTTATTCGTTTTTTAGAAGCAACTCAATACAGCTCGCTTCGCTCGCTAAAAGAATCTCGGGTCCTCCTTACTGTTTTATTTTTAGAAGTATTAATACAGCTCGCTTCGCTCGCCAAGTAAATATGTACTTAGTAAGATAAGAATGATTTTGGCAAATGACATACCCTCTAAGGAAATAGAGGGCGGATGGGCGGGGCTAGTCCTTGCTAAGATAACACTGATGTTGGCGAATATACATACCTTCCAAGAAAAGAGAGGGTGGGCGGGTGGGGCTAGTACCTGATAAGATAAGAGTGATTTTGGCGAATCACATACCTTCTAAGAAAATAAAGGGCGGGTGGGCGGGGCTGGTTCTTGGTAGGATAAAACTGATTTTGGTAAAAGTGTAAAAAGAAAACATTACAAATTAAAAATTGAGAAACTGAAAAATCGAAAGTTGAAAAAGCGAAAAATTACAAAAATGAAAGAAAAAAAAAACAAAAATTGTGATATAAAATCGAAAAAGTGAAAATTAAAAAATCGAAAAATGAAAAATAAAAATCAACATAAAAAGTTGAGGAAACGAAAAATTGAAAAATCGAAAAATCAGAAACTGAGAAACTGAGAAATCGAAAAAATGAAAAAATGGTAATACCCAAAAAATTGCAAATCGAAAAATTGAAGAAAATGAAAAATTGAAAAAAGAACAATTATATAACCGAAACATTGAAAAATCCATACAAATGAAAAATTAAAAATCCAGAAAATGAAAAATTATAAATTAACAAGTTGAAATATTCAAGAAATGGAAAATTAAAAACCAAAAATCTGCAAAATTCAGAAATTGAAAAGTCGATAAATTAAAAATTGCTGCTAAGATAAGACTGATTTTGGCAGATGAGATACCCTTCGAGAAAAGAGAGGGCGGGTGGGCGAGGCTAGTACCTGCTAAAATAAAACCGAGTTTGGTAGAATATATCCTGTAAGAAAAGAGAGGGTGGGTGGGCGGGGCTAGTAATTGCTACGATAAAACAGATTTTAGTAGGTACTAACCCCGCCCACCTTCCCTATATTTTCTTAGACGGATCTCATTTGCCAAAATCAGTCTTATCCTAGCAGGTATGACGTACCCTCTAAGAAAATAAAGGGCGGGTGGGCGGGGCTAGTACTTGGTAGGATAAAACTCATTTTGCCGAACGATATACCCTCTAAGAAAATAGAGGGCGGATGGGCGGAGCTAGTACTTGTTAAGGGGACCCATTAGTATTTCACCCGCTGAAAGAATCTCGGGGATCTATTGGTGTTTTACTTTTAGAAGTACCATAATACAGCTCGCTTCATTGGCTGAAAGAATATCAAAGAACCATTAGTGTTTCATTTTTAGAAGTACTAAAATACAGCTCGCTTCGCTCGCAGAAGAATCTCGGGGACCTGTTAATTTTTATTACTTTGTAAAAGCAACCTTTTTTTTTATCGATTTTTTTTAATATGTACATTTTTAAATCTATTTTTAATTTTTCATGTAAGCTATTTCAAGATCTATTTTTTCACATTTCGATTTCTCGATGTTTAAATTCTTCGATTATTCGATTTTTCGAATTTTAAATTTTCCAATTTCTTTGTTTCAATTTTTAATTTCTCGACGTTTCAGTTTTGGGATTTTTCAGTTTATCTATTTTTCAATTTTTCGATTTTTTATGAATATTTTCTTTTTGATCTTACAATTTTTTGATGTTTCGATTTCCCAGTTTTCGAATTTTTTAATATCCCGGTTTTTCGTTTTTTTTTTATTCTCGACATCTCGGTTTTACTGTTTTTAAATTTGTTCCACTTTCCAATTTTGATTTTTAACTTTTAGATTTTTCGATTTTAAATTTTTCAATTTTCTGATTTTGATGTTTCAATTAGTCGATTTTTGATTCTTCAGATGTTCTGTTTTACAATTTTTCGAATTTTTTAAATTTACATTTTTATTTTTTTCCCTCTGCTTTAGACTTTTTAGATTTTCAATTTTTCGATTTTTTAATGTTTCAATTGCTAAATTTTTCAATTTTTTGATTTCTCGGTTGAAGGAGATTTCGATGTTTAAATTTTTCGGTTGTTCAGTTTTTCAATTTATTAGTTTTTCGTTTTTTCGGCTTTTCGATTTTCAAATTTTCGAATTTTCCGGTTTTTTTGTTCCAATTTTGCAGTTTTCCCACATTTCAGATTTGGAATTTTTCAGTCTATCTTTTTTTCAATTTTTCTATTTTTGAATTTCAATTTTTAATTTTTTTTCGAACTTACGATTTTTTGATGTTTCGATTTCCCAATTTTCAAATTTTTTAATATTCCGGTTTTTCGTTTTTTTTTATTCTCGACATCTCGATTTTACTGTTTTTAAAACAATTCGACATTTTGATTTTTGAACTTTTAGATTTTTCGATTTTAAATTTCTCAATTTTCCGATTTCTTTTAGTCCATTTTTGGTTCTTCAGTTCTATTTTTCAATTTTTCGATTTCTTGATTTATAGAGATTTCGATGTTTAAATTTTTGATTGTTCAGTTTCCCGATTTTGTAATTTTTCGTTTGAACTACTTATTTCAAGATTTCGATCTTATCATGTTTCAATTTCTCCATGTTTAAATTTTTCAGTTTTGGAATTTGGGTTGTTTTATTTTTAGAAGTACTAATATTGCTCGCTTCGCTCGCCGAGTAACTACTCTCTAAGAAAATACAGGGCGGATGGGCAGGACTAGTATTTGGTAGAATAAGACTGATTTTGACGAATGATATACCGTCTAAGAAAATAGAGGGCAGGTGGGTGGGGCTGTCCGTACTAAGATAAGACTGATTTTGGCAGATGAGAC